GTGTGTATCCATTCGCACTTTTTGAAAATTTCTAGAATCTTTTTTTCCCCGTGTGTCATTTCATGCTGTTTTTCTCCCCAACCGCCCCTTTGTCCAACGTGAGCTGGGGCCTGCCCTCGACTGCATTGGCAACATTGCACCCGCCCGTCCAAAAAAGCCAATAGAGTGAAGTGATTTTGAATAAAGAGGGGATATGGGAAAGCAGCAGCCCCTTTCTCGCAAGCGATCCCCTCCCCCTCCCGCTTTGAGATGCCTTTGCGAAGTGGAGGCAGATCCCCGTCCACTCGCATCATCCCCCCATCTGCAGCCTAGATGCAGCCCGATCCCCTTCGTGACGAGTAACTTTTTCTCGTTGCTTTTTTCCGCTTTGGAATCCCGATACGATTTTGACTAGGGTGCGTCTATACACACAAATCGTATGACCATCTTCGGTCGCCAGCACATCGCATTCTGTTCGGTTCCATGCAGCGAGACGGATCGCCACATGTCGGTCGGATCGCTTACAAGGCCGCTCGCATGGGCGAAGAGCAATCAATGCAATAACGCTGACCTGGTGCCAATCGCTCTTGCAGCTTCGGGCGGCGGCCTACATATACGCAGCCTGATACCTTGCCATTTCCAGCATCAGCCCCGAAGGCGCGCGCGGGCGAGGTTCACAATGCAAGGGATGATGCCCCCTCCCCCCTCGATCTTGTAGAGATTTCTTCTTTTGGGATGGAAGCTATTTCGCCGATGAAGCTGTTGGCTCTAATCCCCCACTTCTATGTCCGTCTCATTCTTCTTCATCTTCATCTTTCATGTCTGTCTGGTCTGCATCTTCACTTCGTGGGACAGGCTGTAATTATCTTTTCCAAGCAAACATTCAGGTATCATTCCCATGCCAAAAAAAAAAGTGGAAAAAAAGACAACAAAAGGCAGCACACATAAAAAAAACATCAAATAGGCCGGCTTTATCTTGGTGACACCACCCGACAGACCAGTCCCGCCCTCCTATTCCCACTGTCAATATATATCCCTATGCCGACTGCACCTGCATCTCACCATCCGACTGGCCTCCTCCCCCGAGCACCCGTTTAGTATCTGTACACGGGCTGTTGCACGGGCTCGTTTGTCCTCGGCCCGGCGTCATAAATGTCAGACTCCGAGTCCTTGTCGTCTTTGGGCTGTGGCTTGAGGAGGTTGTTGCTCTTGTCGAGGGAGCTCCTGTGCACCGTGGCCGATGGCGGCAGGGACGCACCCGCCACGGGGGAGTTGCCAGCCGCTGGGGCTGCGCCAGCGCCGGTCGATGCACGGAAGCCAGGATGGAATGGCTCTTCTGGGTATTGAAGCCCGCGACCGTCCTCCTCCTCGCCCTTCGGGTCCGCAAAGGGGTCCTCCTGAGCACGGTCACGGTCAATGCCCAGGCCGTATGGTTGCGTCTCCTTGCCCTTGCCATTGTTCACCGGCTGTTGCTCTTCCGCGGTGACTGGCACGTGCGCCCCGGCGGCGAGGATATCAGCCTGCGACTGTGTCCACTGGAGTACTCTGTCCTGCCCGTTCCTTGGGCCCGACAATGGCGCGGCCTCGTCGGGTGTGCGCTCATTTAGACCGAGCTGCTTCCTCGCGTTGAGGACGGCGCGTCGGTGCTGGTTGAGCGCTGTCTGGAGCTGCTCGTTGGTGTCGATCAGGCTCTCCATCGTCTGGTTGTCCGGGGTTGGGTTCTCTGCCGTCATGTACCCCTGTATGCTCCGCGAGGCGCTCTGGCACCGGTCCGCAAACTCCCTGATCAGCTCGTTCTGGAGCATCTCGGCGGGCGGTGTGTTCATGACGACCTGCTCCAATAACTTGGCTGATGTTCTGGCTTCCTCTAACCGGCTGGCCAGCTCGACAGGGTCGGGCAACCTCTTGTTGTTATGGTTTCGGGCAAAGTAGTTTTGGGAGTGGAAATTGGCGGCTGCCTGGTGCGATCGTCTATGCTCTTGTCGTCTGGGGTTCTGAGAAAAGAATGTAACGGTTAGTGGTCTGATGCTCGGTTTTCCTCTTCTCAGGATTAGGAACGGGGATTGGGGAATGCTTCGTACCCCGAATTTAGTGTAGGCTGCTGTTTTCTCCTTCTTCCACATCTCGATGAGAAGCACCAGGTTCCCATCGTCCATCCTTGTAAACTCAAAGTCGTCCAGAATCTCCATGAGCATCCTCTGCACCTTGCTGTCCTTGCCGTTTCCCAGCAGCTTCCTAACCGTGTCCACAAAATCCTGATCGAATGCTCGCGTGAACGACGGGCCGGGGTTGTCGCACAGAATGCGGAGGATCATGAGCGAGTTGTATTGCCATGATGGGCGGGTGATGTAGTCCTTTCCCAGGAACTTGCGGATCACTCGAGCACATTCGGCGGCGGCGGACGGCGAGGACTCGGCGGCTTCGACGATGAGTGGGAGGAAGAGGATCTCGTCGCCCTGTTGACGTGAACATGATTAGCGCCCAGCTCCCATTGTACAGGGTCGAGGTGGAGGGGAGAGGAGGAGGGGTGCTCATGACCGGGTGGCGTCATGGCGGGTTCCGTACCTTAACGTTTCCACCTGCTTCACAAAATGCTTCCTACTCGGTTGTAAGCGCCCACTCAATCGATCATCGCGAGCTTCTAGAGGGGTGTATAGGCACGCACCACATTGTTGCGCGCGGTTTCCTCTGGCGTGGTGCCCTGAGTAGGCTGAGGGACGGGGGCCGTGGCGCTCGCGGCTCCGTTGTTGGCTTCTCCATGATGTAGACCTGCAAGAGCGGCGATAGCCAGATGGTCAGCATCGTACCCCCCCAAGAAAAGTCAAAACAGTCGCAGTGGCTGTCCATGAGATGCGCGGAACACGCTGTGCGTGAATGTGAACAGGCCGTCAGCAGACAGCCGCAGGTAAGGACAACGTACCACTTGTCTTCCGCCTGATGCTCCCCAGCATCTTGCCCATGCTGAGGCTTTTCTTCATCGACTTCATTTTGGCCTCGTGCTTCTACGCCAGCCCGGTCTTGATGCACGATTCGCGAGGTAGGCCGGGAAGGGGCAGGAGGGAGATTGATGGGAGGCAGCGACGCTGCGATTAGGTAAGGCGCACGCTGATGCGACGAAGCTAGTCGCAGAGTCGGGATGTGGGTTTTGGGGATGGGAGGAGCGCAACCCTTGGTGGATTCGCCTTATGAGTAATTAGGGGATGGGATGGAGATATCGACGAAATGGTCAGGCTGCGCCAGGCACGTAGCACGTAGTATTAAGAGCAGAGTCGGTGTTGGACGGGGATGGGGTTGTCGGTGTGTGCTGCCAAGTCGCGCGCGCACACCCACGTACTATGTATGGACGTGTGGTCCTCCTCCTCGATGTGGAAGCTAGCCCTGGCCTGCGTTGACGTCTCCTTTATTTAAATTGAGTGTTCGCCCATGCAGCAGAGTCGCGCTGCTGTGCCGCCGGATGTGCAAAAGACTTTTGGTTGGCCTCGCTGCCAAGGGCGGTTGGATTCGGCGTGCCTTCTAGCGTCGCTGCGAGTCGAGTCGGCAACCTTTCCCCACGGCTGAGATAGCGGAGAGCGTGCTAGAGGGAGGTGCTAGCAGGAATCAATAGTCATGGCACATATAATATGCGAAATGAACGGACTTGAGCCGTCAGCAAAACAAATGCGCGAGGCCCCGCAGTCAAGTACCCTGGGAACAGGGTGTTCCGTAGGTGGTAGGTATTGATAGCAGGCAGACTGGCGAGAGTGGACGGGACGGTGACCCGGTTTTGACACTTCCCAGGGCTGAAGCAGGCAAACAATCAAACAAACAAGCACCACACGAACAAGGAGGGCAGATCAAAGAGAGCTGGCTACATAGCGGGTGGCAGCGACGAGGATGCGCCTTTATCGTTCGACGGGCATAGACAAGGTGGCGGCCTCACAAATCTCTGCCCCAGTCAGAGTCAGAAGCAGCGGAGGGTGACGTTGCCCAACTCTCACTGAAAAGGAATCAAGCTTGTTGCTCAACCTCTAGTCCCCGAACAGTTTAAACAGGTGAGCATGAAGAAGGAGCACAGGGAGGGGCCCAGATGGACCCTCAAGACCCTCAAGCTCTCCCCCATCCAGCAATTGCACCCATCACCCGTGTCAATCCAATAACGGCGCGCGTGATGGGTTCTAGACTGGGCCCGATAGTGGGAGGACGGCGCCAGCTCGGCCTAGCCCTGCCTGCCAATGGAGCGTGTAGCGTGTAACATGGAGATCACAGCTATCAGCTCCCGCCAAAACAGGCCGCAACACTCCCGGAAGGCCCTGGCTCAAAGCGCGGCTAAGGCTTGCACAGCCTCAAACCCCACGCAATCCTTATCCACAGCACACGCAACCCATCGCCAGGCGAAGCGACCGATCATGGGCAGACGTCTTCCTCTGCCTGCGCTTTGCAGGGCATAGGGCTAGGCTCCATCTACCAGACGAAACAGCGCCCTGCGGCCCTATTATTCGATTTAGACTTCACGGGTCAGAGGGAAGTCTAATCTAAACCACAGGCCGCCTCGCTGAGAGACCGAGGCCAGTCAGAGCTTCTAGATTTCGAAGCCTGCCTGGGGAGCTATTCTTGATGGGTACCTGCATGGAGCTTAGTGCCGGATTCGGTACTGATTTACATCTCTGGCTGAGAGCTCGAGAATTTGCTTCCATGCATCAGACGAAAATGTGCCATCGCGAACTCGGATGACTTACATGTAGGTATCGCCCTCAAGTGACCTCTGGGCTCCCAAAAGCATCAAGGATCGTCGACGACGTACGTGAGCTGCATGAACTGCCCACCTCGTGCCAGCGACCGAGCCGGTGGGAGCCATCTTGACAACCGACCGCCATATAAATTGGTCAGCAGGCGTCGTCAACCGCCCCTCATCTACATGCATGCACACCTCTTTTGCTTGCCACACAGGCTCGACGTCTCCCGCCAGCCACAATGATTGACGCGACATGCTCATCATCTATTGGTTTGTTTTACTTGGTCTCTACACTAGTTGCCAGTCCACGTCACCTATCCCCAGCCACCTGGTCTTCCTCCTCGTCCTCCTCATCAGTCTCATCGTCTGAATCCCCTGTGACTTCCTCCTCCACTATCAGGTTACCCGACCTGCCAATCTTCTGGCCCATTGTCGCCGCTGTGCTTGGTTCATAAACCTCTCGCGGCAGCGTTGATGCGATCCTGAATCTGTATTCGTGCTCGTAGTCCTCCGGCGGGTCGGTCACTTCCTTCTCGCTGACCTCCTCACTGCTCAGCACATCGTAGCACTCCACAAAAGCATAGAGCTCCTCCATTGGTGCGTCCTGGGGGAACCTCCGGGTGATGCGTCCGACTCCGGTGTCCTCTGGCATCTTGAGTGCCACGCGCACGACGTTCTTTTCGCTTGTCGGTGGCTCTGCCGTGATTCTCTGCGATCTCCATGCCTTCCACTGCTGTCGCTTTTGCTCTCGCACTTCTGCGGCCTCGGCCTCTTCCAGCGCTTTCTTCTCCGCCGCTTCCGCAGCAGCGGCTGCCTCTCTCTTCTGGCGGGCCCGTTCTCGGTCGATCGCCAGAGACCTCTCGTAGGCGGAGTCCTGCTCAGTCCGTAGGTTTCTAGCCACCTCTTGAGCAACACGCTCCGCACGCACCCCGTTGAGATCCGCACCATATCGCTCCATTGCGCCTTGGATCTCGGACAGGTATGTCTCTGCCGGCATCGGACCAACAAGCCGCTTCACAATTCCCATCCTTGTGCTTCCTTCCTTGGGTGTAAGACATACAACAGCCGTAAAGGGAAATTTCGTGCAGCTATACTCGGTTGCGACTTGGTATGCCTCCGAGTCGAGGACATTACCACCCCACAGGATAATATTATTCGTAGGGTCCTTAATATAATTGACCACGTCGGGGTTCAGGAGCGTTTCCTTGACAAAGGATTCGGTTTCGTCGTGCTCGGGCGACATGAGAATAACCAAGAGAAACTTGAGCTCCTTCTTTGCAAGGTCGTGTGCCTGCGCCAGTCCTCCCTCGAAAAATGGCACTTCGTTGGCCCCGTACTCCTCATCAAACTCTCTCTTGAATCGTGCTGCCGTATCCCGCGGCATCAACATCCGTCGGCCATTAGTTCCCTTGAAACCCGTCGCCAGACCCTGTGTGATAGCTCGGGGGCGCAAGGGAGCCGGGAGAAAAGAGAGGACGTAGAATAGCGTTCGGAATATCGTCGAGGCGGCAGACCAGCCCCAGCCAAACGGCGTGAGCAAGAGCCCAATCAGCCAGTGTGGCCGTCGGGTGATGGGCTGTTGCGGGACGATTCTGGGTGCCACATCGGTGCGGCTTCTTCTTGGTGCGCGTGAAGACCGCACTTCGGACGCCAGGAGGCTTTCCTGGAGATTTTCGAGTCTCGCCGATTCGCGGGGGATGTCATGGGCGGTAGCGGCGGCGGCGGCTTCCGCCACAGGGTCTGCCTCCTCGCCGTCGAAGAACTTGGCGATGGCGATCTACAAGATCATCTGTCAGTGCCCGGAATTCCGGTGAGACCGGGGCTTGGTCGGGGTCGGTGTGATCAAACCTGAACGCTCCATTGGGATCTCTCTAAGATCTTGACCGCATCTGCTGTGTCCTGGTTCGTCACTTGCACATACTGTTGCAAGGCTTCCTGCTGGCTCGGCGAGAGCTGCTCCAAATCCACGTCGGCCATTTTCCGTTCAACCTGGACCAGTGCTAAAACACAGGGTCGATCCGAGCGCAAGATTTATCTTGTAGGCATCGAAAGAAATCAAGTCATAAAAAGTCCGTATGCGCTTGGTCCGATTAATGAGGTGCTAAGCTGAAGTTGATGTGAACAGCACGTGGCAGAAATCCCCGACCAAGATCGATGGCCGGATGCGATGCGCTGACGCAGTTTATGCCACGTAAAGCACAAAAAAAATCTAGAGAATAAGGATGGACAGGAGTAATATAAGACAGGCAGCGGGCAAATAAACTCAGGGAGTGAAAAGTCAAAGTGGTGGAAGGTTCCGCGAAGGCGGTGCGTTGAAGACAGGGAGGTGGCCGTGCTGAGGGCCAGGCAAGCAATGGACAGGTGGAGGATGATGAGCTCATGCCGTGGCGATAACGGACTCGGATAAGCATTTTGGCTTAGGTGATCGGAGGTTGTGTCACGGACACGGATACGGCAAGTACCTTCAGTTGGCAAGCCCACCAAGCCCACCTCAAGCTTTCCAGTGGGCGGAGCCTAGTCCAAGGCCATTCCATTGGATGGATTAACTCATGCTCCAGGTCAAGGCCAAGGCGGCAGGCGGGTGACATTGAATTGGACACACTCACAACTATTTCTTGTTTTCGAGTCTGCGATCAACAGTCAAGTTATTGAGGGCTGATAATAAATATCCAAGAGACAATATACTAGAGATTACCAATGTATGTTATTTTCTACTCTTACATTATTTTAGTTATTGTAGAAAGCGGTCCGCTCATAACCACCTTTCAATCTGATGTCTCGTTTTCTTCTGTCACCCAGTTGGGCGGGTCCCAAGTTAGCTGCAAGCTGATGGATGGCGGGGTCATGTTGCCCGTAATTGCATAAACGCGGTGCAGAAGGTAGGCCGCGCATCGCATTACCTGCAACCGCTCCCTTGGGACTGCAGTCGAAAGGGGCTGGAGGTCGCTGCGATGCGATGTGGTACATTGATGCCTTGCCAAGGGCCAATTGAGTCAATGGTCCAGGGCTGCCCTTATCTGTAGTCGGCCTACACGTTCACGCCGCCCTCCCGCGAGCAACTGGCCGGGCAGACACAGACAGCTCGCTAGTGGATGCGCATGTACCTAGAGCAGAGCACCCGTTACCTGGTGCAGCGGTACAGCAACTGCACGGCGATCGCAACGACTGGCTGGTGCTATCTTTAGCGCAACGACTAAGCGACCCTTTAACCGCATATCCCTCCGTAAGACCCTCTGGCAGTCCTCCGTCATGGCTGGGTCCGTACCGCTGCACTGCAGAGTGTAGGGGAAGGTACCTCCAGGTCTGAAACCGAGCCGCGATGCCACTGGCTCCAACAGCTGGCGAAGCATGCACCTTACCTGCTCTCTACAGAACGGGCAGCCCTTGGGTTAGGTGCCATCCCCCATCCATCCTTGTCACGTCCGCCGCCTACCTGAAGGACTCGACTCCATCCTCTCCCTCCCTCCCCCACGCACGCACGCACCGCACCGCACTTCCGATCCTGTCTCTTCGCTCCTCTCGCACATATAGAAATATAGTTTCGCTCATTTTCCTCGCCGTGACGCCCGCGGCTCTTCCTAGCTGTATTCCTACATTTTCATGGGCGGCACAGCGCCTCGAGAAAGCGAGCCATGGGAAGTGCTCCGCCGTCAAAGGTCAGTCCCCTCCCTTGTCGCCAGGTCAGATTAGATCGAAGCCACCTATGCCCGCCCATCGCAAAACCAGACACGCGGGCATCTGTGCTCTCGCCGAGTAGCGACACCCTGCGTCGCCACGCCTGGCTAATTGTCAAGCAGTGTTCCTAGTATCGGGTAGCGGAGGCATCCTCATCACATTGCCAGCACAAGATGGCTGCGACGCGATACCAGGCCAATGATCTTCGTCGCCAGGTTGGATCGCCGCGGTCGAAGGGGCGGGGTATGGCCGAACAGCCCCCTAACAGACCAAGCTTGCTTCTGTTTCCTCGCTGCTAACCTTTCGCCGCCATCTTAGAGAACAAGGACACCCTCTGCCGAAACGTCTTGATCTACGGCCACTGTCGATACGAAGACCAGGGCTGCACCTTTAGCCACGATCAGAATAAAGGCAAATCAAATCAAACCGATATGTAGGTACCCTTCCAACCCAGTCCACCGGCGCACGACCCCCTCGAGTTCCATCTTCCATGTTACATCTGTGTGATTGCCCATCCGTTGTGGCCGAATCCGTTACGATCGAGTCGAAAGCAAATATGTTCTTATCAAGAGGTGGAAATGGGTCATGTATGCATCATCGGCTTGTGTGTGCGTCCATTGACCAAACGGTACGCGGTCGAGGACTTCGCGAAACCAATTATGATCTATCCATGCGTGCGCCAAATTCTATAAACAACAAAAAAATGTTTCAAGCAGGGGGATAATCGTGGGGCCTTCTCATTGTTTGTGGTCCGCGCCGCAAGCTTCGAGCACCAGCCGAATCCATTTGCGAGAGCTCTGGCTCCAGATCTGGCCCTGGATAGTTTTTAGCCTTTGTACGAGCTTGGAAATGGTTCAGCAGCCGATTGGCGTCGATAACCCTACTGATTTCTCCCGGATTCTGATGCCACCCTACTTTACAAGCCCACGGACCGACTGCGTAGGACAAGATTCAACTGTGGAAACTACCCTGGTTATTGTCATATTGGTACTCTGGATGAAAAAGCTAACGACTCCGGCTTTTAGCTCCAAGAAGTCTTTGAATGTCGAGTCCCCATCATTCACTCCTGCAACTATCCCAACGATTATCAAGAAGGGTGCTCTTAGCACTCAAGCTGCCAACGCACCTGCTTTTACTCCGCGAGGACTAGGATGTAAGCCAGGTCTCTTTTATGCATACAACCGACCCGGGACTAACCAGCGTCAGCCTCCACGCCAACTCAAACTTCAGAAAATGACACGGCCGGAACCTTCAACCCGGCCACGATCCGTGAATTTACCCCTAGCTTCGAACTTAACTCATCGGTAAGACGACTTGGCCTAATCATGCTTTCCCCTGTGCTACACATTCTTATCGGTCGTACAAGGTTACCTCCAATGGATCAACGCAAGATGCCTCCGTGTCCTACGACCCGTTTGCCATGTCCACCGTTGGGCAAGCTCTCCCCGCAACCCCGTACAACCCGTATGCCGATGACCATGCTGCACTAAGTAGTGCAGGGGCAGCTTTCTTCCAGCCTCAGGGAGCCTTTGCCACCCCTCTCCAACCACTCCAGCACCACCTATACGCTGCAGTTGGCCCTCACCGTGAAGATCTCATGCCCTACCAACGCATGACCCACGACTTCTTCATGCCAGAGAAGCTCCGAGAAGAATATCAGAAGAGAGCAGAGGCAACTCTCCAAGTTATGCCCAACTCTCAATTACCCCAATTGGACAACTATCACTCGTTGGTGGCTCTGGATACCACTCATAGAAAGAATGCCAACATTTTTGGTTACCCCAGCTGGGTTTACAAGGCAACGTCTACAAAATCAGGCAGAATATACTGCTTAAGGAGATTAGAGGGCTTCCGGCTTAGCAATGAGCAAGCTATTAGATCCGTCAAGGAGTGGAGGCGGATTAACAACGGCAGTGTAGTGACTACTCACGATGCCTTCACGACCAGATCATTCGGAGACAGCTCGCTCATCTTTGTCCAAGACTATCACCCATTGTCCAAGACCCTGGCCGAGGCTCACCTTGCACCTAACCCTAGCCAAGGCAATCGATATCAAAAATCCAGTATTCCCGAGAGTGTCCTCTGGAGTTACATTTCACAAATCGCCAACGCCCTCAAAGCAATCCATTCCATCAACCTCGCGGCCCGCTGTGTCGACGTTTCAAAGATTATTGTCACGGATAAGAACCGGATAAGACTGAATGCCTGCTCCGTCCTCGATGTCGTCCAGTTCGATAACCGTCGCCCCGTCCAGGAGCTACAGCAGGAAGACTTGATCCAGTTTGGGCGCACCATCCTCTGCATCGCCACCCTTACTCTCCCCACTCACCTCACGAATCTCAAAGCATCTGTCGAGCAGATGAGCCGAACATACTCAGTTGAACTGCGGGATACGATCCTGTGGCTTCTGACGCCTCAAACGCCCCCTGCCCAAAAGGGCATCGATGAATTTATTCGAGGCATCGCCACGCACACCATTGCTGTGTTTGACCAAAATTTGCAAACCACGGACCAGCTAAGCTCTGAGCTGTACAGGGAACTTGAGAACGGTAGAATTGCCCGGTTGATGATGAAGTTGGCCACGGTCAATGAGCGGCAAGAGTTTGACGGCGACCGGGCGTGGTCGGAGAACGGCGAGCGATATATGCTCAAGCTTTTCAGAGATTATGTGTTCCATCAAGTGGACAGCAACGGGGAGCCCGTGCTTGACATGGGACACATGATCCGCTGCATGAATAAGCTGGACGCCGGCACAGATGAGAGGATATGTTTGACGAGCCGAGATGAGCAAACAAGCTTCCTCGTCAGCTATAGGGAGCTGAAGAAGCAGCTCGCAAACGCCTTCGGTGAGCTTCAGAAAGGAGGGAACAAGCCGAACAGAATCTTGTAGGTAGAGAAACCGAGGCCCAAAAAATTCTCAAGCCCTTCCCGCCCAGGATACGCCCAGTCGACATAGTGGTAGAGTGTGGGACAACCGGAAAACTATAAATTGTTGGGAAGCTTACGAAACAGACTTGGTTTGGGTACATCCAGAGAGCATTGAGGTTTTTGTACACAAGAGGAGGACAGCGGTTGTATATCTATGAGCATAGCAGACGGTATGATTCGAGGCTTCACGGCTGTGGATAGGAATGATCTGCCCCTCGGACGATATGTTTACCGGCAGAAGGTAGATGACCAGCGAAATTTCAATCAATACAATAACGTGTTTTCAAAAGCGTGCCCTCTTTCCAGGTGCACTTTTTATGGTTGCATATAATCGCTTGATGAGTGGCATGAGATAATTATTTCGAAGCGATGCA